ACAGCTGCACTGGCTACCAGTTAGTTTCTGGGATACAGTCATACCTCATGTTATGTTTGCTTCATGTTATGTTTTTTCAGGTTGCTTCCCGCGGCGACCTGGAAGTACCGGAAAGGGTTACCTCCGGGTTTCGCTTCTTGCACGTGCGCAGTAGCACCAAATCACGTGCCACACCTGCGCAGATATGGCACTTCAGGTTGTGGGCTTTTCATGTTGCGAACGGGCCTCCAGAATGGATCCCGTTTGCAACCAGAGGTACCACTGTAAATTTAAAGTGCTGGTTTGCAACCTAGGAAGCCTAACGTGGCTCAGGACCCCAATACCTGTCTCTTTCTACGTGAACTAACCCAGACCCTGCATTTGTCTTCGGAGGCTCTTCTCCATGTGCCCCTGCAAGGGAGGAGTAGAGGGTGGAGATTTGAGACCAGGCCTTTTGCATGGTGGCTCCCCACTTGCAAAACACTGTCCCCCAGGAGACACACCTGGCATTGTCTGCTTTTAAGTGCCAGACAGAAGCTTTTTTGGAGAGTAATTAGGTGAGTTTTGAGCTTTTTTTGTGTGCTCCCCGTTTTAGTGTGTGGGGGGGGGGAGTGGATTTGTATTTTTGCATCCATATTTATGGACAAGTGTTTCAGGTTCTTCTTTTACAGTGGTACCTTGGGTTACATACACTTCAGGTTACATACGCTTCAGGTTACAGACTCCGCTAACCCAGAAATAGTACTTCGGGTTAAGAACTTTACTTCAGGATAAGAACAGAAATCGTGTTCCGGTGGTGCGGCGGCAGCAGGAGGCCCCAATAGCTAAAGTGCTGCTTCAGGTTAAGAACAGTTTCAGGTTAAGAACGGACCTCCGGAACGAATTAAGTACTTAACCCGAGGTACCACTGTACTCTTGTTCCTCTGTTTGGTTTTAATGTTTCTCATTTCTCTTCTTTCATTAAATGCTGAGATAACTTGGTGTAAAACGCTGCAGGTAAACATAGGGTGAAATTCAGCATTGTGTTCTTCCAGTTGTTTAATCTGCACAAGTATTCTAGCTTGCCAGACATAATGAGAATGCCTCTCCTTCTCTGTGCGCTGTTCTGGGGCTTCGTCTGAGCCAGTTTCAGCGGGAAGAGATGGGGGAGGGGGGTAGAGAAAGCTCCATTATACAAGTGGAAGTCCTTGTTCAGGCCTCCCTCTGACAGGGCTGGTTAGATGAATCCCACCCATAATAAATCATAAATATATGTCTGATGCAACTGTTACGCTTTTGCTTGCTATTTCTCTGTCTGGGGAAAACATGGCAACTCTGAGTAATTCTAAACGTCAGGTAGCAGCTCGGCTGCTCAGCGATGCCTCCATTCCCCACTCTGACGAAACTCAAAACCAGGGCGGGTTAACCTTTGGCCCTCCAGATGTTTTCGGACCACAGCTTCTATCATTCCTGATCATTGGCCATGCAGCCTGGGGCATGATGGGAGCTGGAGTCTGAAAGGCCCCGGGTTCCCAGTCCCTCTTCAAGATTTCCTTCCGCCATTTCTTTTCTGCCTTGCATTCTTTTTCTTTCTTTTTTTGCAGCAGAAGAGAATCAGGTGGCTGGTGGATGACAAGGGCCAGATAAATATTGCTGTTAGGAGATGCTGCCAGAGCTCTCGGTGATGTCAGACAATAGCTGTGCCGAGCAGAGGCTTTTCTGCTCTTGGGGTCTTGCCAAGGCAGCATAGCCTGGCACCAGTGTTTGTCTGAAAAACACACATGGTCCTATTTCCTGTCCAAGAGTTGTACACACCATCTCTTTGGGATGCCTTCAGCCTTTTTAATAACTCTGAAAAGGCCATCAAAGGAGGTTCCTGCCGTTTCTTGTATGTACCTGCTTACAGATCGTCTCTTCTTGTTGCTGTGATTTGTCAACAGTGGCTGCACCAGGCTTAATAAGGGGCTTCTTGGACCCAGTGATTCTCAGTGTTTTCGTTACCACTTAGAAACCTATTTTGGCATTGAGCTGTTTTGAATTAATAGATAATATTAGACTTCACATAACATTCATTTTAAAAAAGGAGTATTGTTCTTTGAAATGAAGAGCTGGTGGTAAGCCTACTCATGTCTCCTGATCTTTCCTTTGTTTTCCCAAAGTTTTTAGAGCACTTCGAAATCTCTGTGATGGAACAAGCAGTATATAATGCCATTTGGGCCTTGTTCTCACTGAGGTGTTAAATTGCACGTGGCCTGCACCTTTGACTGCAAGATGAACTGTTTAATAACAATAATAATGACAACAACCATTTTATTTATAGGCCACCCATCTGACTGGGTTGCCCCAGCCACTCTGGGAGGCACTCAGCAAAATATTAAAAACACAAGAAAGCATCAACCTTTAGAAACTTCCCTGAACAGGGCTGCTTTCAGATGTCTTCTGAAAGTCAAATGGTTGTTTATCTGCTCTCTGTGGGGAGGAAAAGAGACTCCTAAGAATAGCCAGCCTGAAGCACTACTCCCAGACACCCTAGCTAGTTAGATCTGTCTGCTGGGAAATTATTTTCTGCGATAGATCTTTCTATCCTGTGACACACACACATAATACAGTTTGAAGTGGGACATTCATTCCAGATGTGGGGTTATCCACTTGAATGAGAGCCCGGCCTTTTGTCACTTGCCCTTTCCGAGGGGCTGCCCTTTCCGAATATCGTGACGTGGTGCCTGCCAAGGGGAGGAAGCGGGCTGTGCCACAAGAAAGAGGGCCAGTATTCCAAGGGGTCGCTTTCCTGACTTCCAGCTTTACATGCAGAGTTCACTCGAGGACTCCGGGAAGCAGCGTCTGTGGGCTTTTTCTCTCATCATTGTAGAGGAAATGTTTTATGCTGCGTATGCTTCTTTCTGCCCTTCTCTGAACCCATGCTTTCCCAAAGTGGAATCCCTGGCACCGCCATGGTGTGTGTGTGTGTGTGTTTGTGTCTCTGGTTTGGGATCCCTTCCCATTCCTTACAGGCATTTAAGACTGCAACTCTGTGCTGTTGGCTTTCCTCTACCAGCATAAAGTAGTTTGGATGAAAGAAAATCAGGGTCGCCAATGCACATGCATGTGTCTGCAGAGGATGCATTTCCTGGTACCCTCAAAGTCACCCCCCTACTAAAAGAAGCATTCTATTGCAGACTGTTGAATAGGGGGGTGTGTGTGTGTGTGTGTGTGTGTGTTTGATGGCCGCAACAGTTGATCAACCAATTTATGAAGGCACATTTGTCAGCCACTGAAGTATCATGTCTCCAGCTGGCCATTAGTGGTCAGTTTGTCTCCCCCTCTGGTTTTTCAGGGAGGGAAACCCCCGGGGGAACTTTTGAAAAGGGACTTGCATTGTGTCATCCCTAATCTGAACCCATTTTGGGCGGAAGAGAGCCAGTTTGTTTGTTTGCAACCTTTTCCAAAAATAAAAAATGACTAGGCAGATTAAAAAATGTAGTGAAGATGCAATGATGATAGGGAAAGACATTTTCTCTTCTTCTTTACAAGAAAATGGCAGCCCCTTGGAAAAGCTTGCTGGGGGGTGGCCAGGGCTGTACAGTGGTACCTCGGGTTAAGAACTTAATTCGTTCTGGAGGTCCGTTCTTAACCTGAAACTGTTCTTAACCTGAAGCACTACTTTAGCTAATGGGGCATCCCACTGCCGCCACACCACTGGCACACGATTTCTGTTCTCATCCTGAAGCAAAGTTCTTAACCTGAGGTACTATTTCTGGGTTAGTGGAGTCTGTAACCTGAAGCGTCTGTAACCCGAGGTACCACTGTATAGAGAAGTGTCTGCCTGTTATCTCTGATGATGCGGAAGGTTCAGCATTGCTAGCCCCCATTCAGAAATCTGTGGAGGCAGGGGCAATAATGGCAAGGCTGTTCTCACTGTGTGTTAGGGGCAAGTTCTCCATGTCATTCCAGGTGCATGCAAGGTACTTAGAAGTGGCTGCCTTAGGGGTCTTGGTTATTCATTTCCACCTGCAAGAGTCAAAGGAAACCAGTTGCGTCTTCCCCGCACAGCAACAAACGTTCTCCCTGTCCTCCACATCCAAAGGAACTTACTGTTTTCCCATTTTGCGTACCACACCATGAAAATCGCTCTTGCCAGCAGCTTTCTGAAGGATTCCGGGGCTATCTCTCTGGTGATCTCCAAAACAGAAAGGCTGCGCCATTTTAAAGGACATAATATGAAGCAAGGGGCTGGTTTGTGTTTTAAAAAAAAAAGACAGGGAGCTATTCAGAATGGGCTATTTTATTGACAAAATAGTCTTTTTGTATTGTGCATGGAGCTGTGCCCTCGCTTGCCTGCAGGTGTCGCCAGAGTCAGAGAGATTTCCTGTTGCAGGTGAGGAGTCACCTCAGCCTGCATCTAGAACAGGGGTCAGCAAACCTTTTCAGCAGGGGGCCGGTCCACTGTCCCTCAGACCTTGTGGGGGCCGGACTATATATTTTTTTTGGGGGGGGGGGAATGAACAAATTCCTATGCCCCACAAATAACCCAGGGATGAATTTTAAATAAAAGCACACATGTAACTCATCTAAAAACACGCTGATTCCTGGACCATCCGTGGGCCAGATCCAGCCCTCAGGCCTTAGTTTGCCTACCCATGTTCTAGATCATAGCTAGGCAAACTAAGGCCTGGGGGCCGGATCTGGCCCAATCGCCTTCTAAATCCGGCCCACGGACGGTCCAGGAATCAGCATGTTTTTACATGAGTAGAATGTGTCCTTTTATTTAAAATGCATCTGTGGGTTATTTGTGGGGCATAGGAATTCATTCATTTTTTTCTTCAAACTATAGTCCGGTCCCCCACAGGGTCTGAGGGACAGTGGACCAGTCACCTGCTGAAAGAGTTTGCTGACCCCTGATCTAGAAGTGCCAGCAATGGGACCAGTTGCATTTTCCCCAGCAGGAAGCTCTCTCCTTCTGCCGCTGTCCATAAAACACCCTGCCCATACCGTGAGTTCAGCTTCTCTGCCTGATGATGCCATTTGTTTCCCTCCACTTCTAGGTTTGTGTGCACTTTCTATCAACCATTCCAATTCCTACTTGGCATACCCTGGCAGCACGACCGTCGGCGAGATTGTGCTGTACGACGGAAATAATTTGGTAGGTAGAAAGGAATCTCACAATCTGAGCTCTGGGGGCCCATGTTCTCTGGAACTGTTTCACTTCAACAGGCCCTAAATATTCTTTTAAATCAGGCTCCTGGAGCATGGGGAACCTACCTTATACCAAGTCAGACCAAGGGTTTGTGTAGCTCAGGCTTGTCTGCAATAGCTGGCAGTGTCTTCCCTTTTTTGCCATTTTTTTTCCTTTTCAGTTTAAATTAACATCAAATTAATTCAGATTTAAAAGTTGACTTCCTGTCCCACCGTTATTTGCCGCTCAACGTTACAAGTATTTCCAAATTGCATTTTAAAAAACCGTATGTTTTTATTTGGAAATTCATTTGTAATTTTCACTTTTACAAATTTTTCAAATTCACCAAAAAAACCTGCATTAATCATTGACTTCCCCTCCCCCTTTTCATGATTTGTTCTAGTTATCCTCTGCTGCTGCGTATTCTAGTTACTCCATATTATTTCTTTCCCATTTTATCTCAGCTTAATTTATACTGCTAGATTTACTCTAATCCTGCTAACGTTTTTATTTGTTTACAGTGATTCTTCAAATATTCTACAATTTCCAGTCTTCCTTAAATTCTCTTTCTTCCTGATCTCTTATTCTGTTAGGCTTGCCGTTTCTACATATTCCATCAATTTTGTATGCCATTCCTCCTTCGTTGGTATCCTTCCCTTCCTCCATTTAAAAAAATCTAACATATTGTAGCATTTCCCCCCTCATCTTCATTTCCCCTTGGCTGCTCTTTTTGACTTCCTGCTAGACTTTTACTTAACAACAGCATATTCCCAAATACCAATAAGAGTTACTCTTCACTTTGTCAGCCCTCATAAATCCTTAGTTAGGTAAAGATAAAGAGACCCCTGACCATTAGGTCCAGTCACGGACGACTCTGGGGTTGCGGTGCTCATCTCACTTTACTGGCCGATGGAGCTGGCGTACAGCTTCTGGGTCATGTGGCTAGCATGTCTAAACTGCTTCTGGCGAACCAGAGCAGCGCACAGAAATGCCTTTTACCTTCCCGCCGGAGCGGTACCTATTTATCTACTTGCACTTTGACGTGATTTCGAACTGCTAGGTTGGCAGGAGCAGGGACCGAGCAACAGGAGCTCACCCCGTCACGGGGATTCAAACCGCCGACTTTCTAATCGGCAAGTCCTAGTTATCAATCAATAATTGCCCACTGTTTTTCATGCACAAACGTCTGACTGGTTCCAAGGCAGTGCCTTTGTAGCGTTTCAGATGGGGCCCTCGGCCTGCTTTTCTTGGTGATTCTAGTGGTCGAACAAAGCCCGTGGTTGAACCTGCAACCTTCTGCACGCAGAGTAGATGTTCTGGTACTGAGCTAATCAGAGCTGCATGTATGTGCATAATTGAAGTAAAAATAAAACAAGGGAGACTGACGTCTCGGAGGGCGCTGCCAGACTGATGCCATTCTCAGGTGGGGTTGGGTCTCATCCCATCAAATCCAGGTCACATAGCTGTAGTCGACTGGGAGTTCTTGCGCAACGAAGCCACTTCCACCAAAGTCTGGACTTTTTGCAGTAAGGAAAGTGATGGGGAGATAGGTGTGACGCTTGCTTTGATGCAACGCCATTTGACCTCCATGCAAACACATAAGGATGAAAGCTCAACAAGCAGCTTGTCAGGGAGCACCCTGATTCTCTGTGCCTTGACTATTCAAGTGCTATCATTGGGGGCATTCTGCGTCCTTAGCCGATGAAGCCTTAATTTTGCCATAGCTAAGGAAGGAGCATGGAGCTGATGCTCATTGGGTAACCTTCCGTCAATCACCGGCTCTTAGGCTAGCCTACCTCACAGGGCTGTTGTAGGGATGAATTGAGGAGGGGGAGAACCAAATATGCAACATTGAGCTCCTTGGGAGGGAAGATGGGGGTATAAATGCAATCAATTATGCAATTAAAGCAATTAATAAAATACTTTTGCTTACAACACTACTAATCTGTCTACACATTTTTGAAGAAAAACTGGAAATCCTACCCTTCTCCCAGGCCTTTTTTTTTTTTTTTTGGCTCACACTTAAACTGTTTACCTTCCCATTAACAGAGAGACGTCTGTTCAATTTCTGCCCACGATGGGCCCCTCGCTGCCCTGGCCTTCAACTCCACAGGGTCAAAACTAGCAAGTGCTTCTGAAAAGGTAAGTGAGCAAAATGTCTACCACTGGAGAGAATTACAATTGGCACTTGTGTTTTCCCTGAGGAGCAAAAACGAGTGTTGTGTTTACCATTTGAATCCTTTGGCAAATTAGTTACTCACCCTAGGCAAAAGTTTCTGGTATTTCACTTAGGGTTTTTTCCCTCTTCCATTTTAAGCTTATGCCCGCTTGCCTTGTCGTCAGCACAGAGAAATGTATTCAAAAGTTTGCGTGTTTTATAAGTCCGTTTTGAGGAGGAGCCATTGGCGTTAAAATACTAATTTAAAGAGAAAGCTGGCAAAGGAGTAACCATCTTGCATGTGGCTACATGTACCAGAAGAACTGACATTGAGTACTGTTCCTAGAAACTGCTGCAGACTAAGCCTGCTTGCTTTCAAGTAAGTTCCACTGAAATCAGTGGGGCTTGCTTCTAGGTCATAATTGAGGTGTAAGCCCCCAAATTTAAGCAAACTTGTAAATTAATCCAAAGTATGTTTACTCGGATGTAAATCCTGTTGAGGTCAGTGGCGCTTGCTGCCAAGTCATTTGTGCTTAGAACTTCAGCCTTAGTTGTAAGTTCCAATGAAAGCAGTGGCTTCTATGTAGTCTTTCTTAGAATCACAGTACCTATCCTAATACTGTTTGTGAGTGCTAGGTAAAGGTAAAGGGATCCCTGACCATTAGGTCCAGTCGCGGCCGACTCTGGGGTTGCGGCACTCATCTCACTTTACTGGCCGATGGAGCTGGCGTACAGCTTCTGGGTCATGTGGCCAGCATGACTAAGCTGCTTCTGGCGAACCAGAGCAGCACACGGAAATGGCGTTTACCTTCCCGCCGGAGCGGTACCTATTTATCTACTTGCACTTTGACGTGCTTTCGAACTGCTAGGTGGGCAGGAGCAGGGACCGAACAACAGGAGCTCACCCCGTCGCGGGGATTCAAACCGCCGACCTTCTGATCGGCAAGTCCTAGGCTCTGTGGTTTAACCCACAGCGCCACCCGCGTCCCTCGTTTGTGAGTGCTAGGAAATATTTAATTTATTCTTGTGTGTGTGTGTGTGTGTGTGTGTGTACACGTACCGAATGCCCTTGCCGGAATAATTGTAGCATCTCTTCTGTGAAGGCAGCTGGTCCTTGCATCCTGATGGCTATGTGACTTTCATGCCTTACCTGTTTTCCTTCAGGGAACCGTCATTCGGGTGTTTTCCATCCCTGAGGGGCAAAAGCTCTATGAATTCAGAAGAGGAATGAAGAGGTCAGTGCTACACTCTAGCCAGTGGCTCTTTTTCTTCTTCTTTTTTGACCCCATATGAAATGCACGTCCTGCTACCTAGGAGGCTTGAAGGAAATGAATTAATGGCTGAGCTGAGATTTTGAAATGAGGGCTACAGCCCATTCTCTTTCCCAGTGCTACATCACATTTGCTCATTGTTGGATCCCTAGCTGTAGGACACACAGACCAGCAGCAGGATATGATTTGAGCATATCATGTTCATTTCCTCCACCACCTCCAGCCTGCAGATCTCTCAGATCTGCTTACTTTGGCCATGGCCTATCATGGCCTGACCTCCTCTTTGTTTTTGTGTCAGCTGCAGCAATCCTCTTTCCTTCCCTTGGGCTTAGGTACGTGAACATCAGCTCCCTGGTGTTCAGTATGGACTCACAATTCTTGTGTGCTTCAAGCAACACTGAGACCGTGCACATCTTTAAGCTGGAACATCTCACAGACAGGTGGGTATCCAAACAGTGCCGTGTGGGCTGCAGGGAATCTTCGCTACAGTGAGATTCAGCCCTGGCCCAGCAAAGCTATGGGAAGAATGGGAAAATGTGGCTCATGCATAGCCAAGCCATCACTGTCAGTTGGCCCCAGGGATTTGGGTATGTGCTTGTCGTTTCCAGCAAGTTACTGGCTGTTATCGTCCTTTTTTTTAAATGGGCCCATGTTGTTTAGACAAAGTTGTGATGCCACACAGTGGGATGAACCTGTGACTGAGAAATGGGATTGTTAGGACAGGAGACAGGAATCAAGAGCATGCCTTGATTGTTGTGGCAGCACTCCAGGAGCCAGGAAGAGCAGAACTGAAGGAGCCTGGGACCAGAGTTGAGGGTGAAGGTGGATCTGGGGTGTGCTAGACCCAGGAAACTGCTCCATCATCCAGCCCAAGGTCCAGCTTCCAGGCCACAATATTTATTCCAGACGTTTGTTGGAGAGAGGCAATGTCGTTGCAGCTCTGTGACCAGCACAAGTCTGCAAAGGGCTCGTGCCTGTTTCTGCCTTCAGTTGTTTCTGGGCCAAGTGTCTGTTTGCAAAACCAGTAACTTCAGTTCAAGAATTGCTGTTTGTAGCAGGGGCAGCTATCTTTGGCTGTATATGGACATTGTGCATCACCCAATGGTAGCCTGGGTGCAGTTTTGGTATCTGTGAAAAAGATAGCTGCCACCTTTGTCTCTGGATAACTTCAAGTCTGTTTTGAAGCAATGACTATTAGAGTAGCCATCCACAGCGCTGGTGTCCTCCACACATTTTGAACTACAGCTCCCATAATTCCTGACCATTGGCCATGCTGACCAAGGCTGATGGGAATGGAGTGCAAGGTCATCAGAGGGCGCTAGGTTGGGGGAGGCTAGGCCAGAGATTACTAGGGAGGAAAACTGGAATTGGCTTGGGTGGAACTGAGCCTCTTTAACATAATGCACATTATCCAGGATAAACGTTGAAATAAGATAATGTACGCAGAAGCCCTGAGAAATGATCGGCTGTCACTGATAACTGCTTCCCGTGGTAGATTTAAAGTTGGAAGACAACCCTTTGCTTAGCACAGACTTGTTTTTAGCTATTCATTAGTGTTTCGGTAAGAAGGTACATTCATAATGGCTTTCTGTGAAATGGGGTTTAATTGTACAGGCTGTATCTTAACAGATCACTGCATTCCCTTCCCAGCATAGGAGTGTTTTGCCCAGTTATCATTGGGACACACAGTGGCTTATAGCATTGTTGCCTAAATATACTCGTTCTTGTTGGAGCAGACAAGTTAGCTCAAGCAAGCACAGCTGTGCCGGCATTATATATGACGAAACTTCACACAAAGTTGGACAGCTGATACAATTTTAACTTGCATGTAGATTTCAGGTTTGACTTTATTGGCCACATTGCACTTTAATAAGTTGTAGATCCGTGTAGGCCCCGAGGTTCTTATACTCTTAAAATGCTGACACCGAGGGAAACTCCCAAGGGGGAAAAGAAGAATTAGCAAAGGTTGAATAGGAGCCAGGGAAGTTGCATGCATGTAGCCTTGAGGGGTTTAGGACCACACTATTGCATTGATGTTGCCTGGTCTAGATACTAGACTAAGAATCTCAGTGCCTGCTGCTTTGTTTCCCTTAGCCGGCCGGAAGAACCCCCGTCTTGGAGCGGCTACATGGGCAAGATGTTCATGGCTGCCACCAACTACCTCCCTTCTCAAGTGTCAGGCATGATGAGCCAGGACCGGGCCTTTGCCACCGTGCGCTTGAACTTCTCTGGACAAAGGAACATCTGTGTGCTCTCCACGTACGTAAGCTGTGGCTATAGCAACCAAGCAGCAGCTCCTTCTGTGTATATATACATAGGCATCACTCGGAGCAAATATATATATATATATATATATATATGCGCACACACCCACACCCTGAGTTGAGGCAAGCTGGAAGTTTGTTAGAAATGACTTGACCGTGGCAAGATGCGACGTGTGGAAATGTTCTGTATCTTGCTTTTTCTGCACTGGACCACTGCCATCTGTATCTGCTCCAGGGAAGCTGCTGGGTGCAGAATACAGGTAGTTCAGAATTTTAATCTGTTTTGTGCCCCAGGTCTGAAAGAGAGTCGATTGCAATGGTCTCTTTAGGGGCTTTCTGCCTACCAGAATAAAGATTGAGGATGTCTTTGGCCCAGGAGTAGTAAATGTGATGTTCTATGGACTACAACTCCCATTAGTCCTGACTGTCGGTCATGCTGGCTGGGGCTGATGGGACTTGTAGAGCATCATGTTGACTACCTCTGCTTGGCAGGAATCGGATTGATGGAAGGAATTATTATTTTTTGCCCTATTCCAAGTTGTGGTGAAGGCTCACAGTAGTGGTGGTGGTGCTCATAGTGACTGAATTTGGGAAGGTCTCATGTAGGAGAAGGTATCTCCACTGATGTGTTAAGCAGAACAAGGCATCTGTACATTTGTACCATCCGGGTGTGGTGCGTGTATCCACTTTTCCTCTACTTAATGAGAAAATAGCATAGTAATTGCACAAGAGGAGAACTTACTCATCCAGGTAAAATTCACTGCTAAATACCACCTGATGTCCTGGCCAGCCTAGGGCAGGCAAATGGATGGAGAGACCTTTCGTGAGTTCCTTTCAACTCTCCTCTTGCGCATTTCTTGTTAGAATCCAGAAGTTGCCTCGGCTCTTGGTTACGACGTCTGACGGAAACCTTTACCTCTACAACCTGGACCCTCAAGATGGAGGAGAGTGTGTTCTAATCAAGAAACACAGGTAAATGATACAGCTGAGCTGTTTGAGCACTGCAGGGGGAAATGTCTGGAGGTGGTTTAGCGTATACAAAGGGAAGCCACAGGCTATAATAAAATCATGCCCTGTAGTGCTTTAATTCGTTGGTGGTTAAAATTATATGCATGACTTCCTGAACTATATGAGGTATTCCAAAGCTGCCCCACCTTCTAGCAGAAATCCCAAATGTCTATTGATTCATGAAGCACCTGCACTCTGGCTGTATATACTAGTTTTCTGTAGGTAGGCATCTTCTGCCCCCCCCCCCCAAGGGGAGCATCTCACAAAATTACACAAGATGGACAAGGACCTCTTGGGTGAAAGCCATCAGACGGTTTGGCCTGAAGCACAAAATCTGAAGGCCCTTTTATCTCAGAAAGACAGAATTGTCTACACACAAAAGCCCCTACCAGATTGTGCAGTCCTGGGGAGTAGGATGGATCCAGGGAGCACAACAAGGATGCATGTCACATGTGGAATTGATGTAGCAAAACGGATATGTGAGAAGAACTAAGCTCCCTTGTTGGAAGGGAAGAGTCATAAAGCAACACTTCAAAGGTTCTTGGAGGCAAGCAGACACATAACTGGAGGGAGGTTTGCTCTGTGGCAAAGATATGGAAGTCCTTATGGCAGTGGTAGCCAACCTGGTGCCCTCCGGATGCTGTTGGACTTCAACTCCCATCAGCCCCACCAGCCTGCTTGGGTAAGGGGAGTTGTAGTCCAACAGCATTTGAGGATGAACGCATTGGCTGCCTCTGCCATACGGTTTTCCCAAAAGGATGAGGTGATGCATGAGCAGCCTCTGATTGCTTTTTAGAAAACTGTTTCAGGTGTTGTGGGTTGTTTTTGTACATTACCGTGGTACTTGATGTTTTGCAGTTTATAGATATTCCGGAAAGATAAGATTTGGAGGGCAAGTAACACAGCCCGAGTCACTGAGCCACAAGGGAAGCATGTAGGTTTTATTCCTAGTTTGAGGTGCTTATATTTGCACTGGAAATAGCTGAAGGTGACAGTGAAGGTGTTTCCCTCGTCAGGGTGTAGATAATGCCAGGCCTTTGTAGTTGGATCTAAACACCCACCTAGGTATTAATTTGGCTGTCAGCTTTTGAAGTGCTATTCAGCTCACACACCAGCATGCTTCAGATGCAGAGGCTGTGACTAAAAGGCCCGCTGCTCTGGGTCGCCCATCTCATTCAGGCATCGCCAGCACTCTCCTGCCTTGGCCCGGAGCCTGTGTGTGTTGTGGGCACCTGTAGGTCACCTCAAGTGAGGGTTTTTTCCTTGGGTGTTGCCTGTGTCTCAGAATCATGGCTGTGTCCTCCTCCTCGTCTGGACAGCTGCAGTGGAATTTCTCTACAAGCCCGTCTGTGCTGTCTAGCATAACAAGCAGAATGAATGCCCATCTCTTTGCAGAGAGAGAAGTGAGCACTTGTATGTATCCTGGTGGAGTGTAACGTCTGTGCGTCCTACTGCCCAGCCCTTTGGGCTGGCAAGGGCAAGAGGACTGGGTGGCACCAGGGACTTGCAAGAGGTGCCCACAAACAGCTGGTGGGAGCTTGCTTGCAACTGGTCTATTCTGTGAATGCAAATCTGCAATGAGCGGGTGAACCCAGTAGCAGAGGGCCGCCATGAACTTCTGTGGTGGAGTACGATTACTGCCATAAGGGATATGCTTTAAGATGATAGTTGCTGTTGTTTAAATAGGGGTATCGCTTAATGTCAGAGATACTATGCTTCTGAATGCCAGTTGCTGGAAATTGCGCTCCGATCCTGCTTCTTGGCCACTGTGAGAGCAGGCTCCTGGACTAGGTGGGCTGCTTATGTTAACTGAGAGTCCTGCCATCTTCTCTGTAAGGGAGAAGTGTGGGACGACACTGTGGTTGCTCGGTGGTGATGGAAAGGCAATTGGGCTTGCTTTGAGGTCCTGCATAACATTCTGTTGCATGCATATGGGTACGATTTGGATAAGTAGCTTGAGCAAAGATGAGGGAAAGGAGACTGATAGTTGAAAGGGTGGTGGTGCAAGGTTAGGAGAACAGTGCATGGGAGACTATTTCCCTTACCTGCTGCGCTACTGAAGAAAAGGGGTCTGAAGGATCTGGTGTCATCTGAGGTCTCTTTCCCCACCTCCACAGCAACATGACACCTGCGTCCCAGCACTCTCCGCCCTTTCTTCCAAATGCCAACATAGTCCTTTTTGGAGAGGTTGGGCTGTTACCTGCCTTTGTGCATTTGTGTTGGGAAACCGATGCAACATATGGGTCAGAGATGGATGAGACCATGGCACAAGAACCACATGCATCAACCATCCAGCTTATACTTCGCTACCCATCACAGTGAAATATGGACACACATTGTTGATGTTACTGGGTAGCCTGGGAGGGGGTGACTAATTTTATTCTCTTTCTTTCCTGCCTCAACATACCCAGCTTGCTTGACCTGGGAAAGGCAGAAGAGGACAAAGAAAACGATCTCTGCCCCCCAGTACCTCCGACTTATGCTGCAACGGTAGCCCGGCAGAGTGCGGTGCCTTCACCTTCGATGGTGCCAGGTGAGCGTCAGGTTCACTTGCTCTGATTGTCTTTCGAGGCCTTCAGGCTCTTGGTTTAGCCAGTCCAGAACTGTTCATGGCTAAGTATCCCCAGATAACATCCCCCTTGATGTTCTTAGGGAAACAGGGTTCTTTTTCTTATCTGTCACCTCTTCAGATGCCCTGGTACTGGGGGGCTGTGGTGGAGGGGGAAGGGGTCTGGCCATAGGCAGAAGGCCAGATGTTTCCCCACATTTTAATTTCACATTGCCTCAGAACCAGACGAAAGAAACTGAAGCAGCTCGACACCCTTTGCTCTTTGTCACAACATACATCTACATGGGTTCTCAGAGTTGCCAGGCCAAGCCACACGTGTTGTGTGATATAAAACCATCAAGGCTGGGTGCATTATGTAGAAGTTTAGAAGAAGCATAAAGTCTGACAATGAGCCCAGAATTCAACTTCCCAAGAATCTCAGCAACCATAAAGCAAAAAAAGAAAGAAAGAATAGATCACCCTGATGCAAATCTTTGCCTCTCCTTTATTTTTGTAATGCAGAGAAACAGCCACAAATGTCTTCTGGACATCTTGTTTTGCTCTGTGTTGCTTAGAACTGCAAAGTAAATGTAATTATAGGAAACATACCCATTGTGCTGTCTAATAGACAACACAGACTCCCTTGCTTGCATGTTGGTGATGCGCTTTGCTCATGTCATCCCAAGAAAAGCCACTAGAAATCTGAACCGACTCGCTTGACTACTCTCCTCTCCCCTAAGTAAGACTCTTTCCTCTATCCTGTCTGTGCAAACAAGTTAGAATGTGTTTCTGTCCGTCCTTTATGAAAAGCCTTGGGCGCCACTAATGCTTATTGAAGATCCCACATGAATCAAAACTCTGCATGTCTGATTCACAGTGGAAAGCCTGAGGCTTTCATTAGAATGGAAACTTCTCCCCGCCACAGTCTGGCAATTGCAGTATTGGTGCAGCTCTCACAAGTCCCTTCACTTCTCTCTGTTTTGCCAAACCTTGCAGAAGGAGGGGGGAAAGCACTCAGTAAAATCACCAAATCCCGCCCCTGTTTGCCCAGCCTTTGGGCTTTTCAGCTGTACTTATTTCCAGTATTTTGTTCCTTCTTAAATAGGTTACTCAGAAGATGGAGGAGCCCTTCGAGGAGAGGTTATACCGGAGCACGAATTCGCCACTGGGCCAGTGTGTCTGGATGATGAAAATGAGTTTCCACCTGTGAGCATTAGGAGTACTTAAGAGAGCACTATGGGCCTCATGCTGCGAAGAAAGCATTTAACCTCTTCTTCCAGAAGGGCTGTCCCTTCCTCTCCTTTCTGTAGCCCGCGGCAACTAAATCAGTTATGCTCTTACAAATGGGTAGATAAACTCCCACTGTGCTGGGAGAGGGGCTTGGGAACAAAAATCTTATTTATAATCCTGATATCCTACTGCTGCATTGGTGTCCCAGGCCCAGGGAACTGACTGAGCAGGTCCATTCCTGCGGAGGTTCAGCAGTGCTACAGCTGCAGATGCTTCCAGACCATTTAATTGATTCCCACCCAAACCCTCTTTTCTTCCCAAGAGGAGGGCATGCTCAGAGTTCAAGTCTGGATTTCTGCATTCACAGCTTCAGCAATGCCTCCGAGATGGAAGAAATCCTTCAAATGTCAGAAAGAGGCATGTTTAAGGGCATCTGTTTGGTCCTTTGAATGTGTGTTTGGATTAAGTGACCAAAACGAAAATGATAAAACTGACTCGTAGCTTTGGCTTTTGTGGGTTCTGGGCAACTGCAGCCCGTGCCCCCATTCCTTCCCAACCCAGTCCTATTGCTGGTAGCTTTGCCATACCAGCAAGATGCTCAGCCCCCCAGCTTTGCTATTTGCATGTGGGGCTGGGGGGAGGAAAAGACCTGCAGGGCAGGCATCAGTATAAAATGGTGGTGCAGGTAGAAGCATTACCCAAGGGGAAATGGGCAGGTGCAGTGAGCAAGTGCTGGCCGGGCAGCAGTCGTGCTAGTGATGGAGCTGCTCTTCCATCGCTGGGCTCTTGAGGTAGGACCAGCCTGTGGCGAGAGAGAAAAAAGAGAGAGCGATCAGCAGCCCAAGCCTACTGACTGCTGCATACACAGACCAAACCTGTCTTTAGCAAGGAAGGTTGGAAACTGGAAAACTTAAGGACATTTATTTGTGTCCCCGCTATCTTTCTCCCCTCTCTGTAATAGAAGTCTGCTACCTCCCAGTGTCTCTTTAATCAATGCTATTTATTTTCTAAGAAGTAACAAGCGATGTATTATGTTCCTTCTAAAGGGTTGCATTCAAAAGGAGTCATGGGGAAGTGACTTCCATGCTGTGTCTTAACAGCGTCAAGTGATCCAAGCTTATTGCAGAGCTAAGCATCTACCTGCCCAACCGCTTGTCTGCCTTGCTCCTGTTGCCGCTTCTCACGCCTGCTGCTTCCCCTTTCCTGCCGCTGCCAAAACTCTTGCCCCGGGCTGTTAAAGGTGAGAGGAACCGTCCCAGATCGCCTTACGCTGTTGTTTAGAGGCTGGAAGAGGACTGGCTTGGTCTAGGGCTAGGGAAGCCTTCCAGATGGTGTGGAACTACAACTCCCACAATCCCCGACTTCTGACCATGTTGCCTGGGGCTGATGGGAGTCCAGCAACACTGGAAGACTCACACGTCAGCCACCTGTTATCTATGGCACCTGCAAGCTCGCTCTCCCCTAACCTTCAAGGCTGCCTCTCATCTTCTCTTTGTGTCTGAGGGGGGATGAATGCCATGGTGGGTGTGAGAGACAGGATGGAGCTGGGGGTGTTACTTGCCATAGACAGCCAGGCAAGCGGCACATTGCACCTCTGACTGAGGATATAACGGGCTTAGTTTTGGCATTTGTTACTAGTTGTGTGGGCTGGTGAAAAAGCCAAGGCTGAGCAATCACAATGTTACCTGCTTGCTAGGCCCCCGTAGGAGCTTTTGGGTTTGTTTGTTTGTTTTTTGCGATAATTAGGCTGTTCCCTCCACATATGGCCATGAACACTTGCTTAGGCAGTATCCGACCCGCAAAGAATAGTGTTCTATTTTAAAAGTGTGAAGTGTTGGCACTTTGGATAAATGGTTGTGTTAGTCGTGCATGCATATGTACGATTATTGACCTTCTGGGGTTTGGTCACAACTCGGCTGTGCTCAGCATCCTGTTTGAGATGCTACTGCACTTGAGAGTTGTTTCTTTTTACCTTTGGCTGCCTTAATAGAGGAGGGTGGATGGCGATCTCTTAGTATTTCGTCATCTCTCTAGGATCAGAAACTTGGGATTGTTTTTCTCTCCTTTGTACCAACCTCCCAGGTTGTTATGGGGGTTTCCACTTGCCATATTACTTTATGAATCCTCCTCAGTGCTCTGTGAAACTCTTGGTGTGATGATGTGCCTTATTCATAGGGAAATCGCCTCTCCATGGATATTGTAGCAAGCTTTTGGTTTCTTAACAGTGCAGGCTGGGATGGGGACAGTTTGACTGCTGGGCTCAAGCTGGCAGGGCAGAAGTGAGGATGGAGGTTCTATGTCATTTTTCCAGGGGGTCTGTGTGTAATGGACATACATATCCAGCTGTTTTATCATCCCATTAGAAACAATGGGAGGGGAGGTAGAGATTTAGTGATCTCTGTTTCAGGAGCTTGACTGAATAATTTTCTAGTATGGGGGATGTCCAACCCACTTCCCAGCATACCCTCTTTTTTCTGGCCCTTCTGACAGTGCTTTTAAGGTCAGTTGGACCGGCCCTTTTTGGAGCTAGCAGAGGTGGGAAGGGAAGCTCCGACACGGGACCTCCCTTTCTGATTTTGAAGCTCTATGTCTGACATAGAGGGTAGGTCCATTCTAGTCCATGGCTTGTAAGGATGGCCCTCCTTGGCAAGGATGGTACCTTGAATTGCTAATATACTGGCATAAAAAGAGGTTTTCCAAAGGGTATGTCTACACTGTCTTCTGCACAGGAGGAAGTATCTACACACATCAGAAACTGCTAAATTAGCCCCATTCCAATTTGGACAAAGTGGACTAGCCACACCAGACCCAAGTGCTAGAAGTTTTTTCCGATGTCTGGGTCGTATTGCAACCTTCACATCGCTAAATTGGGCATTCCACTACCATTCCTCCATATTACTTACAGGAGGTAGAGGGGAGAGTTAGGAGGGGAAAGCTAGGAGATCTAATTTACAGCACCAAGACTACAAGCTCTCTTGTCCAGGCAAGCGTAAAAATGTAACTGCCACAATGTGAAATGAGCGTTCTGCATGCGTTGCAGGTGACGATGGTGTGCATACTTTCTCCTCCTTTAAGATGCTCTTCATGTGGAAAGCATCATTGTATGTGAAGCTGTGGATGGGTAAGCCTGTGGAATCCAAGCAGCTTGGGATCAAGTGCCACTAAAAACATGATTGCCATGCGCCAGCTGCATCACTTATGCTTGTGGAAGAGCAATTTCCATACAGGAGCACAAGGAACTCCAGCTATTGTTAGGGTTGGGCGATACAGTGGTACCCCGCAAGACGAACGCCTCGCAAGACGGAAAACCCGCTAGATGAAAGGGTTTTCCGTTTTGGAGGCGCTTCGTAAAACGAATTTCCCTATGGGCTTGCTTCGCAAGACGAAAGCTCATAGGGAAATCTCCCGGACAGCGGGGAAGCGCGTCTTCCCCACTGTCCTTGGACCTCCTCCCGCCGCCCGGCTTCGGAACGATGCTCCGAAGCCGGGCGGCAGGGCGGGAACGCCTCCTCCCGCCGCCCGGCTTTGGAACGAAGCTCCGAAGCCGGGCGGCAGGGCGGGAACGCCTCCTCCCGCCGCCCGGCTTTGGAGCATCGTTCCAAAGCCGGGCGGCGGGGCGGGGACACCTTCTCCCGCCGCCCGAGACTTGGGGTGGGAGGAGGGTTTTCCTTCCCACCACCAACATTCAGAATGCTGTTCTGAATGTTGGCGGTGGGGAGGAAAAACCCTTCTCCCACCGCAAGCCCCGGGAACAGAGGAGAAGCGCTGCGCCCCTTCCCCTCTGTTCCCGTACCTGTCCTGAAGGCTTGCGGTGGGGAGAAAAGCCCTTCTCCGCACCGCCAGCCTGGCAAGCGGTTTCCCTAGGAACGCATTAATTGATTTTCAATGCATTCCTATGGGAAACCGTGCTTCACAAGACGAAAAACTCGCAAGAAGAAAAAACTTGCGGAACGAATTAATTTCGTCTTGCGAGGCACCACTGTATCTGGTTTTCAACACTGCAGTGTATCAGCAGCTAAATATCAGCATATGCTGATATATCACAATGGCTGAAATGTATATCAGCTGCTGCTTTCTCCCCTAAGTGGGGAGGAAGAAGTAGTAGGGATACATCGCCCAACCCCATACTGCTCTGGCTTTTGCGAGCAAGAGCAGTAGGAGGGTTTGATCAGCTATGGGGTGGGCAGCTTCCCACCCACCCTGCAGCTGATCAAACCCTCCCTTCCAGCTCACACAAGCAAGGGCTTGCTCAAAGGCGCCTGCCTGCCTTTGCCCGAGTGGGCAAGCTGTGTCTTTCCTCGTGGGCTGGTTGGTCGCTCTGGGATGAAAGACACAGCCCACCTTCCTGGGCGAAGGCAGGCAGGCAGCAACCAAGCACACAGAGCCTGAGAAGCATGTTCAGGCTCTGTGAATCTGTCTGCCTTTGCCTTCGTCCAGTTGGGCAGCCTGACTCTTTCCTCCCAGAGCGACCAAGGACCCCACGAGGAAAGACACAGCCCGCCCAGACGCCTTTGCCTTTTGCAGACAATTTGAGCTGCTGATTCACTGTGGCTCCCTGGTTGCTGCTAGCACAGCACAGGGGAGACAGGAGGTGCGCTGTGCTGGTGGTGGCTGGGGAACCACGATGTATCAGGTGACCCCAGCACATGCTGTGTTTACAACCAAGACAAGGGGTCATTGTTTAAAGCAGAAAACACAATTCTCAGTCTTCAGTTCCCCCTAAGATGGGCATTGGGGTCCGTTCCCAGCCCAGATAATTCATTGAATTAAGGACACGCAAAAAAACTAAGTGACCCACAGATTTTGCGGAAAGCAAAACAGTTGCATGGCAAGCTGCCTCCCTGCTGCTTCCTCTGCATGTTCGCAAAGTCCGGCTACAGCACACTCCCTGCTCAACGGCACGCTGCTGGGAAAAGTAAGGCCCTTCTGTTTTGATTTTGGTAGATAAACTTGTGCCGTGGAAGCCAGACGAACAAGAGGTCATGAGGAGTGGCAAACAGCAGAGCACGGAGCGACGGATGGGAGGTAGTTTGGAGAAACAAAAAATGGGAAAGTGGAAGATCCCACAAGTGAGGGGGGAAGCCAGAGGTGCTCCAGTGCTTTTAACACAGTATGTTTCTTCTTAGCCCAACCCTTTCTGGCCCTTTGTGTGTATTCTCTTAAAAGTGCTGCGTGGGTTTGGTATCAATGTACTGTATATGCACATTGCTCTATACTCGAGTGTAAATGTAATCCCCCCCTGAATTTTATACACATGCCTGCCCTTTTCTAATTTATGTCGTGTATAAATGTACTTAACAGAAGTCTATTGATCTATGTCCTTTGTACAGTATATATACATAATATTTTACCCAGGCATAATATTTTTGCAGTGACCTATTAGGGAGACAGGGGGAAAAAGAGAACTCCAACTTACTGTGTTGGCGCTCTGTTTAAATACCTGTTAATAAAGTCACCATCGTGTCAGCAGCAGCAGCTGTCGCCTTGCGTTCTGTCTTGTTGTTTTGAACGGAGCCCTAAAGATGTCAGCCTTGATTAAGTTTTACCAGTGGAACTGCTGCATCTGCTTGCAAATAGAATCCCTTTTTCTTTCTACTGTACACCATGCCTCAGTTGCTATTTTCAGAGAATCGTGTCAGGAGATCCACAATGAGAATTGCCTCCCTTATTTTCCTTCATATGTTGTGGACCATCCTGCCTGCAAAGAAAGAGAGATACTGTATTTTTCTGTGCATAAGACAATATTTCCCCCCAAATTTTTAAAGTTTAAAATTGGGGGTAGTCTTATACACGGAATGTTGGAATTATTTAATTTTGGGCTCAAAAAATAGAGGTTGTCTTATACGTGGGGGCGTCTTACACACACAAAAATACGGTAATTATGTCTATAGCATAGTAAGGACCCGAGTCACTATTATTATTTAAATAATAATTCTTTAGATTTTCAGATCCTTGTAATTGGCTCTACCCGATCTTGCAGTGGCTCCATATGCCTAAGACCTACTTTAAAGACCCCCTCAAATGTCTTGGGCCATGACTCCTACTTAAAATAAAAATGGCAACCGTCTGTCTGGTTCTCGTGTCCCTGTTTGTAACACCTTACGCAACTAACTCGTCTCATCCTGATGTCAAGATGCAGCAAGCCCTGGCAGTCTGTGATGCAGAGGTGGAGACAGGGAAATGCATAATCAGGTCACAGGTAAGTGATGCCAGACATGATGGGGGCGAAATAGACATGTTGTCATTTTGGGTGGCCGTCACTCAAGTGTGACTGCTTCCAGCACTGGATTGAGGTGACTTTTGCAGAGAGCAGTAATTGCTTAAGGAGTTAAATGCCACCGATGCTGAGATGAAATGTCCCCATTTACAAAAAAAGCGGTAAGTCTACAGTCTTATAGGTGGGAGGGTCCCCTAGAAAGTTGCATATACACTGCTCTTTTAACAGGATAGCATGTGCATCCTCAGAGGAGCTCCAAGTACACCTGCAGAAAGTTTGTTTTTTTGCAGGGAGAGATGCATGTTGGGGTGGGCCTTGGACCCAGAAGCCCCTTTTTTCTCCAAAGCACCAAGAACTACACCAGCCTTCAGGGTGGCATATACAGTGGTACCTCGGGTTACATACGCTTCAGGTTACAGACTCCGCTAACCCAGAAATAGTGCTTCAGGTTAAGAACCTTGCTTCAGGATGAGAACAGAAATCGTGCTCCGGTGGCCCCATTAGCTAAAGTGGTGCTTCAGGTTAAGAACAGTTTCTGGTTAAGAACGGACCTCCGGAACGAATTAAGTACTTAACCCGAGGTACCACTGTAGTTTGTTTTCCCTCAAGTATTACGCATTAAATCAGCAGGGCTGAGGATGTGGCAATAGTTCTCTACCATGAATGCTTCTGTGTCCCACCTACTCCACCACCAATAGGATTGCTCTGGTTTAAACAAAATACAGTTATTGATCATTACTTTACAGTCAAAGTTGAATGTAAAAAAAACACCATACAAATAAACGTGCAACAGAACAAAACAAAAGTATAAACAAGGGCTAACAATAATGCCAAAGTTGTAAAAAGCAGATCTAAAATTAGGAATCCTGGCTTGTGTGCATAAAGACTTAGAGCCATGTTAGAAATCTAGTCTGATTATAAAACATCAGATGGAAGCTGCCCCATACGGCACCGATTCAAAATATTTACATACCACCTTTCAACCAAAAATTATCAGAATGGTTTAGGATGTAACAAAGCATCTTAGTTCTAAAGTTTCCCCTGCTATTCTAACCTTGAGTCTTGTAGGCTTCACTTTCCGTATCGGCTCAGCATCTCTGGGATGAGTTGGAATAAGCCAACTGGCACCGGCAGACCAAATGCTGTGGGTTGCAGCAGGGTGTCACAGCTGGGTCATGAGAGTAGTCCGCTGTAGAGACATTGTCTGCTGCAATATTCCACAGAATGTCCAGGAGAGCCTTGTTTGCCACTGGCAGGACAGCACGGTACTCCGCAGTCTCAGTGTCCAGTGGTGCTGCCTCCTGGATGTCCTGCTGTAAGTTAAAAATGAGAGGTGGCTGATGGCGCCGTTCCTTCCCAATGCTCCCATCACAGGCCTTGGCACCACCTGGAAACAGATGAGGCATGCAAGATGTTAGGGCTGCCATCTTTTAACAGGTATTCCTGTTGCAGAAGTCATGCAGTTAAAAGGGAAAACACCCAGAGCTCATTAGTGTAGGTTAAGCATGATACAAACTAGCCAACGGAAAGCACTTTTAACAATTGGAGGGGAACTAAGCACAGGCCCATTACAAGAATGGACCGGTTGCAGGAGCAACGGGTGGTCCAATGTCTGAAATACGTATCTGTGAAATGTTTGCAGTTGGGTGCTTCTCTGTTTATTGTTTAAATGCAAAATTTGGAAGTATGGAAGACGTTCCTTGGAAATAATGCAAGATAGGTTCAGGAGGACCCGATACCAGCATCACATGATGACGATATTGGTTTCCCACTTAAAAAGTTTGTGAAATGCCACGAGAAAAATGGAATTCTGCTGTTACACAAAATACTACAGCCATCAATGAAAAACAGAAGCATCAAACAGAGGAATAGCCAAGGCGGGCAAGAGGGGGCTCCTATGTTCAACCCTTTGACAAGGACTTGTTTACTTTACTGGCCGTCTCACAACCAACAGATAACACAAGGAAAGCCTTGCTGGACCAAAGAAAATGCCCATCTAGTCCAGCATCTTGCATCTCACAGTGGCCAGCTGGACACGTACAGGAATTCCACAAGCAGAACCTGAGAGCCACTGCAGACTCCCTGCAACTGGTATTTTAAAGGGATAACGTCTCTTAACAGTGGAGGTAGAACACCATCATTGTGGTAAACCTACATCTGGGCTGTACCACTTGTTCTCCAGCTCCCTGCTCTGGCTAGCACTCGAGGCAATGCCTGTTATTTATATATTTGGGTGTCACCAGCGCCAGATCCTCGAGCCCCCAAAATAAAAAGACAATTTAAAAATACCTAAGTACACTCAGAAGGTAAAAAAGTGGCTATAGAAATGCTAAGAATTTAATAATTATGTTCGGAAGTCAGAAAGAAGGATGAAAGATCGATGCTCAGTTTGAGCAATGTTTCAGGTTATATTATGTAATAGAATGTGATTATATGTGGAAAACTCAGTAAAAAATAATATATATATATATATATATATATATATATATATATATATATATATAAATAAAAAATACCTAAGTACAAGGACACCTCATCTAAAACATCCTGCTCATTAACCACAGCTATACAGACCAAAACTTCCCCATACAAAAATGCGGATGGCAACACCAATGAACCACATTAAAGCCATTGAGGAGAAGGAGATAGTTGGTGCAACCCTTAAGAAGGTGCCCCTGTTGAAACAAATTAACTCCTTGGCTGCTTTCACTTCACCGTGTGAGGGGTTGGGCTCCTGCCCACATCACAGAGGAAGCAAACCTTCAGGTACACGGACTGTCCTTATTAACAAGAGGCAAACCTGACCTTGCTACCCAGGAGGAGCAGGAGCACAAAGTGTTCTGCCCACACAAGCATGCACTTCTATTTGCCTGGTAATAATTAGCCCTGGCGAGAGAGCAAAAGCATCCTCCTAATGATCCGGCAAACTAATTTAACAGTTGTTTACATCCCTTAAGGACAGGTTCCCTGTATCACGACACGAATGTCAAATGTGTTTTGGACAATATATTGCCCAGCCCTAACACACATCACAATTTGCAATATAATTGCCAGGTCAAAAAGAATGAAATGGATAGCATGATATGGACTTCAAACCGGTTTCGAACTTTGTATCAATATATTGCTCAGCCCTATTTGTGGGATGAGGATAAAATGTACCCAGATTTTAACTGGAAGGCAGGGTGGAGAAAGAAGGGAATAACTAACTACTGATCTGATAATATTGCTCTTCCAATCCTTCACAGCTGCAAGTGCTGTATATGAGCAATTGCATCAGTGGAAGCTAAGATTGTGTGTGTGTGTGTGTGTGTGTGTGTGTGTGTGTATAAAAACTTGCAGGAGGACTAAATCAGGCAAGGAGCCTCTGGGGAGAACGACAACGGAGGAAAGGGAGGAGAGGGACACACATTACGTGCAGTGAAAGCCCATGCTGCTTAGCAGAGATGATAAGAAAGCAGCCCTTTGGTAATTATAGCTCAAGAAGCCTGAGTCGCAGCTGCCTCTGCAGGTTTCTGTAGGTCTGGCCCAAGCTTAACCCCATTCCAGAATGTTGGCTTGAAGGCCCAGGAAGGGTAAGCAAGCCATCACCAGTGTCAATTTTCATTTTGCTAGAAGAACGCGAAGATATAAAAATAGCTGCGAGGTCGTACGGTGTGGCATGAAAGCTGAAAAGGTAGATCTTGAAGAGGAATGCTAACAAGTGCCAGCATTTTGAGGGCAGTGCTCCCCTCTTGCTGCTGACAGGCACACTTTTCTAATTAGGAAAGGGAGAAAGAAGTGCCTTAACACTGGGCCTTTCTCTCCGCTACTTGTGGGGAGAAAGAATGGAAGTGAGAAGGCTTTTGAAAGCAGCAAGACTGGTCTGTAAACTACTAAAGTCAAGGCTGGGGAGAGGAGGGAAGAAGTGTGGGGAATGGGTATCCCACAAAACTGCCCAGTGGCTTCATCCACACTGCAGACAGAAGTGCATTCTGGTACAGTGGTACCTCAGGTTAAGAACTTAATTCGTTCTGGAGGTCTGTTCTTAACCTGAAACTGTTCTTAACCTGAGGTACCACTTTAGCCAATGGGGCCTCCCACTGCCCTGCCGCGCGATTTCTGTTCTTATCCTGAAGCAAAGTTCTTAACCCGAGGTACTATTTCTGGGTTAGTGGAGTCTGTGACCTGAAGCGTATGTAACCCGAGGTACCACTGTATAGCAGAATGCAGGTGGGCTAAGAGTTGGTCTCTAGCTGAGTTTCCTCTCCTTTTATTCTTTTTTTAAAGTGCTCCCTCTTAGCCATACCTGCGCAAATGTATTTTGGCAAAGTGGGAAACTGAGGCAACTGCCTCAGGTGGTGGATGCAAGATGGCGGCCTCCCCTGTGCCTACTGCTTCCTTCCACTGGTCCTGCTGCTACTACCACATTCTGCTCTCTGCCTCCTCCTTTTCCTTCCTCCCTAATTCCACATCTTCAGAAGGGCCAATAAATTATGGGCAGGGTGTGTAGCTGCTGCCGCTAAATAATTTTAAAGTTTAGGCAGCATTTTTAGTTGCTGCCGCAAACTACAGGCATGTGCCCAGCACACCCAAAAGGCTTTGCTCTGCTAGTCAGATGCAGATGAGAAGCACCAGCCTGGAAAGATAAACAGAGAGTCTGGGGACTCAGCCAACTGCAGGGGCTCTTAACCCCCTTCAAAATCTGCTTGGATCTCCTGGTGTTCCTCTAAACAAACCTAGGGGATACAACAGCCACTCTAGAAGATCTGAGTGGATTTTGGGTGGGTGGCTGTTCTGTTCTCCCAGCCAGATTCTACTCAAGTGTCACGTAGTACCACAGCAGACCACGAAACACACATCCGCCAAGACATCTCTGCTCACTTGGCAGAGGACTGTTCCACCTTTGGGCCTAAATTCTCATTCTCTGTATGGGTGTCCATCTTTACAAAACTAGGGCTGCCGTATGTCTGGATTTTCCCAGACATGCCTGGGAATCGGGCAACATTTTGGCATCCAGGCGGATTTCCCCAAAATCAGCAAAATGTCCAGGAAAACCTAGACGTATGGCAAGGGGGGTAATTTTATTTTTTAAAATCCTCCCCAAAATGAAGAAAAAGCCCCATGACTGATTTTTGGGAGGGAGATGTTACTCCCAAAAGCTGAACAGATTTTCAGTTTTGGGAACCCTAACAAAAAAAATGATTAAGAATTAAAAACAATCTATTCAGCTTGGGGTGGGTTTTGTTTTTGGTGGAGTGAAGGGGGATGGATAACTGCCTTAGAGATACAGCTAAATATTGGATTTGGTTCTGGGGGAAGATGACTGGTTTTATTCAGAAATGCTTCAGAAGGGGAGAGGGAACATCCCACAGGGTTGTTTTTTTTAAAAAGCACCTCACAAATCCAAGTAAGCAACATACCTGTGAGATAAAATGCCTTGTACTGGTCCACCCGAAGAGCTTGTATCTCTCCATATTTTCCAGCAGCCCCACTGTTGGGATGGAACAACGTCTAGGGGAAAGAAAGCGCCAGAAGCTTAGAAAGTCAGCCCTTTTTAATGGAATACTGAATGGTTTGGTTTACAGTGGTACCTCGGGTTACATACGCTTCGGGTTACATACGCTTCAGGTTACAGACTCCGCTAACCCAGAAGTAGTACCTCGGGTTAAGAACTTTGTTTCAGGATGAGAACAGAAATTGTGCAGCAGCGGTGCAGCGGCAGGCCCCATTAGCTAAAGTGGTGCTTCAGGTTAAGAACAGTTTCAGGTTAAGAACGGACCTCCGGAACGAATTAAGTACGTAACCAGAGGTACCACTGTATATAAAATATGCAGGGATTTATGCTATGCAAAATGAACCATGTAAAGAGAAGAAGGGAAGTCACTGATATTTTAAGGTTGCATGAATGAGTATTCTAAATTGTAAAACAGAAAATTTAATAAACATTATAAAATGGGAGAAAAGAAAAAGGAAGTCAGCCCGTTTCACTTGGTAAAGCTTAGGGAAGAAATGCATGAATTCAACAGCATGAAAAATAGACACGTTTGTTGCTCAAAATAGCAGCTATGCATATACAATGGTGCCTCGCAAGACGAAATTAATTCGTTCCATGAGGCTCTTCGTATAGCGGTTTTTTCGTCTTGCGAAGCAAGCCCATTGACAGCTTAGCGGATTAGCGCTATTAGCGGTTTAGCGGCTTTTGGCAATCAGCTGTTAAGCGGCTTATCAGCGGATCAGTTGATAAGCGGCTTAGCGCTTAGGAAAAGGGGGAGGAAAGGGAAAAAAAACCCCGAAGGAACTCGCAAGACTTTTTCGTCTTGCGAAGCAAGCCCATAGGGAAATTCGTTTTGCGAAGCGCCTCCAAAACAGAAAACCCTTTCGTCTAGCGGGTTTTCCGTCTTGCGAGGCGTTCGTCTTGCGGGGCACCACTGTAGCACACTTCTGTATCGCCTGATAACGAAACTGGATGTGCTGTTTAAATGCGTATTTGCATTTTACTTTTTTTAAAGTGTGAATAGCATCTGCTGAGCAGGTGTGCATAACTGAAAAGGTGCTTTGAAAGAGGGATACCGTATTTTTCGCCCTATAGGGCGCACTGGCCCATAGGGCGCACCTCGTTTTTTTGGGGGGGGAATGAATTTTAAAAAATCATTTCCCCCCCAGCCGCGGGGCTGGGGCGGGGGAAGCCCAAGCTTCCCCCGACCCCAGCCCCCAGAACAGCCTGCTATCCGCAAGCCTTGCGAGCCCGGTGGCAACTCCCGCCGGGCTTGCAAGGCTTGCGGACACCTGCGCGAAGCACGGGGCGCCCTCCAGGGGGCACCCCATGCTTCGGGCTGCAGGCTGCTGCCAGCAAGCCTTGCAAGCCCACGGGAACTCCCGCCAGGCTTGCAAGGCTTGCGGATAGCTTCCTGAAGCCTGGAGAGCGAGAGGGGTCGGTGCGCACTGACCCCTCTCGCTCTCCAGGCTTCAGCGAAAGCCTGCATTCGCCCCATAGGACGGACACACATTCCCCCTTCATTTTTTGAGGGGAAAAGGTGCGTCCTATAGGGCGAAAAATACGGTAGTTGCTTTTCATCTACACTCTGGTAATCAGGTTTTGTAGGTAAGTGCATTGTGTTTAAATAAAACCTGCAAAACCTTGTTTCGCCAGAGCAGTAGTGAGACGATGGAAAGCCATGCGTCTGTCAAATATATCCAGCTCTCTTATTTTCCTGTACTCATCTATCAGAGAAGGCGCACGCACCACACAGGAATTAGTTCTGGGTGGCTGTGTCTGAGGATCATGCTGTTAAGTATTACTGTTGGTCTCAGTGTCAGTGCAAGCCTTGAAGTGCCACTTACGGAAATCAGGCAGATTTACTCCTCCTCCCCCCAAGTCTCTCTTGATGAAAGCCAACCAAGCAGGATCTGGTTCTTAGCGTCTATCTTCTTTGAGTGACAGCTTTGTAATGCTCACATGCATGAGTCAATACAAGACGGCCATGAATCTGTCTCTGCAGAATACAAATCCTTGATTCTCAATGACCTAATGAACAACAACAACAACAAAAAGGCTCTCCTTTTCCCTTTCGCAGAGGTGTGACCCAAGTCATTCATACATTTCTTCTCCCATACGAAAACCGGTTTGGTGACTACGCTTAATGCAAGTTTCTCTTTTGATCCCTCCTGGGCACTTAATCCCTCTGGGTCTCAATTTCCCACATGTACAATGACCGTAACAGCATTCCTAGTGCTCCACAAGACTTTAGTATGGAAAATAAATACATTCACATGGCCGTTTCATACACTAATGAATGGGAGCCATGTGCTACATTCAAAGCATGGGGGGTGGGAATCTTGGGCAATAAGTAAGAACTGCAGGAACAAATTTATCCATATGTCTAAGTCCATGGTTCTCCTTACCCAACACAGGTTGGGAATAAGTTTGCAATTATGTATTTATTTTTTGTCATGTTGTAAGTCACCTTTAGCATGGTTTGAACAATGGAAAGGCAGCATACAATAAAAGGCTGGATGTATGCATTGTTCCACGACACTCCTGTCTCCAGGCAGCGTGAGATTCCCAAGGCATGCTTTGTAACCTTGTGTTTCACTTTGGACAATTCGGCATGGCAGAGACTGTGGTGTCTTTATGATCTATGGTTTCCAAAACCTGAAGCCTCCTACGGAGGAAGTTCAGCACATCAATATTCCAAGAGGTTTCTATCCCTTTCCTAAGCACAGCACTGCTTGCAAGAAGAGACATCAGCATCTCTCTCTAGTACAGCTGTTTTGTCCCAGCCAGCCTACTTCCCATGGTCATCCTAAAACTCTGAACTGCAGCCCACATTGCTTCTTAACGCCTAAGTGCTATTCTAAACTCTGGCTTCAAAGCACTGGCATTGCCAGACAAAGGAGGGAGGAAACCCGCACCTTTGCAAATGAGAGTTGCCCTTTTCATCCCTTTGTTGTTGCCTAAATGGCTCATCCTAATGCCTCTCAAGGAAATTATTTGAGTTCATCAGCTTTTACACTTGTCTTAATTAATGGGACACGGGTGGCGCTGTGGGTTAGACCACAGAGCCTAGGACTTGCAGATCAGAAGGTCGGGGGTTTGAATCCCAGCGATGGAGTGAGCTCCCGTTGCTTGGTCCCTGCTCTTGTCAACCTAGCAGTTCGAAAGCACGTCAAAGTGCAAGTAGATAAATAGGTACCACTCCGGTGGGAAGGTAAACGGCATTTCCGTGTGCTGCTCTGGTTCGCCAGAAGCGGCTTAGTCATGCTGGCCACATGACCCGGAAGCTGTACACCAGCTCCCTCGGCCAGTAAAGCGAGATGAGCGCCGCAACCCCAGAGTCGGCCATGACTGCACCTAATGGTCAGGGGTCCCTATACCTTTAATGCCTCTCAAGGAAATTATTTGAGTTCATCAGCTTTTACACTTGTCTTAATTAGAGGATAAACAAAGTCTGGCAGAGGCTTAAATAAACACTGACACTGGCTCAAATACACATGTGAGTCTAGCTCACGGTGTTTCAACACACAGCCTGGGGGGTCACAGGTGCTTGAAGCCCCCCACAACAGCCCTTGAGAGCTAGGCAAGTGAGGTGCTGGACTCTAGGAAAGGGGCATGAGGGCTGGGGGCCATCAAATTGTAGCCTCAAGCTCTCTGCCCCCCATGCAACAAGGCAGTGCGTGGCCCACAGGTTCTGTGTCACAGTACCCTTGTGGCACAGTTATGAAAAGTTGGACCATCCTGATTTCCCGGTTTCAACACCCAAGCCTTAATTAAATTCTGGCACTAACTTGATCCGGAATTTAGGGTTTCTTGCACCCCCAGATTCATAACACTATATACATACATATACAATGTGTATATTGTCACAGAAAACACAGAGGTTGGAGGGGGGGTTGTTGGGGGGAGGTGCCTTCAAAAAAAATACGCTGTTGTTTCTTTCTCCTGGATTTTGTTTGTCTTTCCATTTCATAAGGCTGGGAGAGCTGCATATATTTATATGGAGACTAAACCCGAACACGACAGAGGAAAACTGCAAACCAGGAAGACAGGTGTAATACCCCTGATTTTCATATACAGTTGTACCTCGGGTTACAGACGCTTCGGGTTACAGACTCCGCTAACCCAGAAATATTACCTCAGGTTAAGAACTTTGCTTCAGGATGAGAACAGAAATCGTGCTCTGGCAGTGCGGCAGCAGTGGGAGGCCCAATTAGCTAAAGTGGTACTTCAGGTTAAGAACAGTTTCAGGTTAAGAACGGACCTCCAGAACGAATTAAGTTCTTAACCCGAGGTACCACTGTACAGCGAGTCTTATACACTCAGCCTCACACCACTGATACATCACTAAGGATGCAATCGTGTGTCTCCTGAGTGTTATCGCAGCAAACACAGGAAAGAGCAGTGCTCCAAATCAGAAAGGAAGATCTGATGTCAGATGCCCCATTCCTCACCCCACCACAGCAATTTCTGCAGCCCTGGCCCAACCAGTGTCAAAATCCTCAGGGCCAGAAAGGGGGTGCAGGAGCCAGGGTGGACTGGGAAACTGTTGTAAACAAAATACAACAGAAACAACTTGGATCTGAAGCATCCCAAACCATCCTGGTGCCCCAACATGCCTCTAAATCAGGGACAGATTTATACTGGCATCCTGGATAGCTCAGTTGGTTGGAGTGTGGTGCTGATAAGGCCATGGTTGCAGGTTCGATCCCTGTATGGGACAGCTGCATTGCAAGGGGCTGGACTAGATGATCCTCAGGGTCCCTTTCAACTCTACAATACCATGATTCTATGATCTTGCATCTTTCCCTCACAATGTTTCAGATGGGAGGGAAACAGTTTAAAAAATAGTAAAATGGCCAGAGGAGGGCAAGAGTGGTGCTCCAACCTCAGCCTTAGGATTGCACCCTAAATGATGCGTGACGATAATCCAACAGCACAGGGCTTTTTTTCAGTCGGAACTCACCAGAACTCATTTCCGGCACCTCTCAGGTGGTCGCCATGGCCATTATGAAAG